CAATATTAAGTACGTACTATGAACGCCTAATATTTAATTTTAAATGTTACCAATATATAAATAAAAAGTTCTTTAACGATGTATTCGCTCAAAAAATTGCGTTAGGGAGGATTTCAACACATTTTCACGGTGAATATTTCAGTCAACTTGGCTAAGCTCTGAGCACTTATTAAAAGGAAAGAAATTCTTAGCGAATTTTGACGTGAGAGTCGTCTTTTAAAAGAGAATCCCCCGTTGTGAATTGTTGTATACAGCAGTATTTTCGCGCCTTAATCATATTCACGCATTTTTATGATTTTTCTCTAATTTAACGAAAATTCATCTCTTAATCGTTTTTAAATGAAATTTTCGTTTCTCTGCATTACCATTTTAACACTTTCACACGAAACTGTCTAGGCTAACGAAGTTTAACTGATTAAATTTTAAATTTACTGCATGCTTTCACGAGTGAAATATGTTAAGGCGTATTTTCATGTTGAAAAAAATATTGTAGAGGACGCTAGTTTTGACAATATTTTGGGAGTATCAGAGGATCCGATGTGAACTCAATTCTAATTAACATAAAAAAATACTTCTGCTTTCTTTTAAGAGTTTCAGTGCATTTAAAATTTAATCAGTTAAACTTCGTTAGCCTAGACAGTTTCGTGTGAAAGTGTTAAAATGGTAATGCAGAGAAACGAAAATTTCATTTAAAAACGATTAAGANGGGTGTGGGTGTCGGTGTCGGTGTGGGTGTGGGTGTGGGTGTGGGTGTGGGTGTAGGTGTGAGTGGGTGTGGGTGTGGGTGTGGGTGTAGGTGTGAGTGGGTGTGGGTGAGCTATAGAGAAAGACCGACACACATCCACGCCCCACACCGACACCCACACGCCACATCCACACCCATACCCCACACCCACACCCAAGCCCACACCCACACGCACACCCACACCCACACCCACCGACACCCACATCCACATCTACACCCACACTCACACTCACATCCACACCCACACCCACACCGACACCGACACCCACACTCATATCCACACCCACCCACAGCCACACCCTTCCATTTTCATCAAATTTCTCATAGATTGAATGATAGACAATAAAAGTAAATAGTAGGAAGAAATGCTAAAATTATGTCTATGTCAACATATAGTCAATACATTAACAGCATTACTTGTTGAAAATACATCGTAGATCTATATACAAAACTATGTGGAGTTCAATGATTTTGGGATACCCTATCTATCAGCCGCGAGACGTTCACATGTTTTTTTTAATTCTTCTGTATCTTTTGTAGAATTCAACGAAAATTGCTTGCATTCGTACCGTCTTGATAAAAAATGATGGCTTCAAATATGGTTTCTAATAATACAAGTGGTGATGAACAACACCTTACTATAGAAAACAGCTAGAGCAATATTCAATAAGGTATTACTTCCTTTTGTACGTAGCGCGCTCAAAAAGTGTCCGGACTGGTTTTATTAAAAAACAATAATAAGTGCTGTTGTATTTCTATTATTGCCTGTGGGTAGTCCATACAGTTCTCTATCTATAGGAATCATAGGCTCAGTTGAATTAAAACATATATATGAAAATATAGAAACACCTTTGAGACCACTGTTTTTACACTGACAAAAAATTAAAGATTTAGAGCGTCATTCAATGATGAAATTTCTTGTTCTCGGCAGGCCATGACTCATTTAATATTTATAAATGTATAGTAACAGTTGATGATGATCTGTTCTCTATCGCTCACTACATGTTCTGAATGGAATCGTTGTTATAAAGATGAATTATCGTACATTGACGATAATTTAGATATGAATAATATCACTATAAAACTGTAAATAACATAACTGTCAACTCTTTTAGAAACCTGATGATCGAAGACAGTTGAGTTATGCCGAGATAAATAGCGGGTGTGGTGTGGGTGGGAGTGGAGGTGGGTGTGGACGAACTTAACACTTACATCAACACCCACCCACACTCATACCCATGTCCACACATCCGCATCTTACGTCCACACCCACACCATTACCAGCTATAAGAACACTCTCATTATCCATCGGACAATTATTGCGTTTTTTACATGAAAAAGTAAGAAATTTATGTATAGGAGTAGATGAATGTATTGAAGTTGAGGGTCACCTCTTGCGTTGATGAACCATTTGCCTTAACTTAAACTTAAGTTAAGTATTGTTACTCAGTCTGTAGGATTGATCAACGAGATCAATAGTTACCAATTCACTTCTTAATAAATTTTTCTATTTACCATTTCATTTACGCTAAATCATGTTTGAATGATTATTTTCGGCGAATATCATTTCATTCCAGGTTTTATTTATAAAAGTTTTAACAGCAGCGAAAATTGTAATTACACAATGTATAAAGAGAGACTACCATTTTGACAGAATTTAATTTTGCAGAAAAACTGCAAAAGTAAATTCTGTCAAAATGGTAGTCTCTCTTTATACATTGTGTAATTACAATTTTCGCTGCTGTTAAAACTTTTATAATTAAATCAAAAAGTCGCTCATTCACTTATATTATTCCAGGTTTTTCTTCACTCTGATAAAAACTTAGCATGGTGCTATTCAATTCACTTAACAGAGAAATCGTGTTTGTGCCTGATCAGCATATATATGATCTTTTTTCTCGTCGCAATACTAGAGAAGATCGTTCTCGAATCTAATTGCCTATAAGTTTTTTCGTTTCAACCAGTCAGATTTAAGCAAGATTTTTGTCGACGATTTTCAGTCAAAAGAAGAGTTTTGATTTGGTTGATCGGGGAGTTCATATGAATTCTCTCTTAAATGGACAAATGAAGATGTGTTAAGTACTTTTTGAAATAGAGAAAGAATTGAAATTTAATGGTATTCGCTGGACACAATTATTGAAACTTAATTTTATGTGAATTAAATGAATAGTAGAACAACATAACCTGAATAGTCAGTATGAAGTTATTTGTTTACACGTTATACTTAGAAATTCACTAATGACTACTGATCTCTTTCTAATTAATATTAACTGTTAGAGCTGTTTGCAAAAAAAAAATGTAAATCTTGTTATGCAAATATTTCGTTATATTTGTATCCTCTTCGAATGTTTCATGTAGGATTTGATAGCCTGCGACGAGTACTATTAAACATTATTATTCAAAATTTATTCGTTCACCTTTATAAAAAATAAGGGACAAACATCTTTCTTGCATGGACATCATACAATTTTTTTTATAGCATTAGCTTCGAGAAAAAGCACAAACGAGATGCATCATGAGTTCTTGTACATCTTTAATCAACATTTTCAAATATTTATCCTAATTGGGTGGATTGAATTCATAAACAATAGTCTTCACTCACATGAAAACTAGCAACTCCATTAGCGCATATTTCTATTGTAAAAACCAAGAAAAATATCTTGTTTCTTTCGTCATTTGTATTAAAGTAGTTGATTAATCGAATGTCGTTGAAATCTTCATTGAAATAATTTCGCGAAATCCTGGGACTTTATCGAAGTTCGACCGAACCATTTGACTTTACTCATCTAAATTAGACAACGTTAATATGGAAATAATTTTCTGCCAAGAGAAATTTCTTCACAAGAAACTAATGTACTGACGAAATTTCTTCGACAATTACCAAAAGTAGACAAGGTCATTATTGAATATCATAAGGTTCTCTCCCAACAAAATACCAAGTAAAAATCCGTTCAGTATTTTCATCTACACTCAAGACTTTGTTTTCTCATAACCTCCCTGAGATTTCTCAACTTTCAACTTTAGAAACGAACACGATATTTGAAAAATAAAATTCATTATCTGTCTGATAAAACATATAGAATTCATATCATAAAAATAGTATATCCTTGTACATACATTCACTGAAAATCTTTTTATCTCTAATAAACAAAAAACAAAATAACATGAAAACATTAAGGTTTACATTGACAATATGGATGATAATCTCAACACTTTAGTTGACAGCTTCATCGCTATAATGAAAGTGTTATAAAATTGTAGACAGAACTTTCAAATATTATGTCGAGAAAAAAATTATTTTTAATTTCAATACCTTGAATAGTACATTTGATCGAGTCATCCTCAAATTCAAGCTATTAACAATATCGTTATAGGACTGCCTATTCAGTTTTGCCTCAGACTGTAACTCTATCCAGATACGTAGCTACATCTCAAACCCACAACATTCGCTTCACGCAGGTTCGATAAAGATTCCCAAACGAGTTTACATGAATTTTTCATTGATTCCCATGTGAATTCTAACATAAAACCACAACTAATGTAATTATGAACAATTTTAATTTTTTGTGAAACATATCCTTTTCTTTTTGCTTTGTTTAAAAAAAAATCAAGTTAAGCTATTTTAATTAAGGAAGACATTTTTTGACAGAAAGACACCCATCGAGCAACATTTTTAACACATCTGCCTCCTTGACTGCTGACGAATAATACTTCTATATCTTCCCATGAGGGTGTGGATGTGTGTGCTGGTGTAACCTATGATTACAGATAAATCCACACTCCACACCTCAAAAATTACTTTTTTTTACGTACCAATATCTTATCTGATATAGATGAAACCAAGGTTCGAGATGCGGGTGTGGGTGTGATCGTCTATTGTACCACACATACCCTCGGTATGATTAAACTGTTATAAAACTTTAAATAGAACTTTGGAATATTACACCAAAGAAAAAAAGATCATGGATGTGGGTTCCACTATGAGTCTATACCTGACTAACGCTCACACGGCCCACACCAATACCCATGCCTTCTGTGGAGAAAAAACTACGTCGTTGAAAAGACATGTTTAGAAAGGTAGAATGAAACAAATAAAAATGTATCGTCATATGTATGTTGTAATTTGATCTATAGCTGATTAACTATTCAGAACATGAGATAACTATAAAATTTATGCATGAGAAATCTCAAGTCGATTTGGTTGAGTTTTTAGTTTTTGTCTATTTTTTTTTATCAATTCATGAAATAATTTAAGATGAGTGATCATCCAGGCTTTACCTTTATGAATGATGCTTTGATCGATGATGAATTCATATGTTTAATTTGCAATGAACCATTTAATAATGCAACGTGTACACCTTGTGATCATACATTTTGTCGATCTTGTATTGAACAATGGTTACAAAAAAGTACTGATGAAAATAAATCATGTCCAGTTTGCCGTCATTCATTATCAATTGACAATGATTTGAAACCAGCCAGCCGTATTATTTCAAATAGAATCGATCGATACTTAGTTAAATGTTTGGCTTGTGAACTTGAGAAAATACCACGTGGTTTATTTTCAGATCATATATCAAAAATATGTACCAAGGCAACTGTGTCTTGTTTGGCATCAAATATTTTATGCCCTTGGATAGGACCAAGATATCAACTAGAAGATCACTTAAAATTGTGTCCTTATCAACAAATCCGTCCTATCCTAGAACTTATTCAAACTAAGAATAGTCAACTTGAAGAATTAATCACTAATCAACAGCAAGAGATCATAAATATCAACGAACGACATCAAGCACAACAGCAGCAGATTGATGAGTTAACTAAAATGATTCATGTTTTAAAAGGTACGTTGAGAATTCGTCTAGCAGTGGCTATTTACGGTTGTCATTCTTTTGATAAAAAGATCTAATGCGATTATTAATTGCAGCTCATAACAACGTTTCAATAAAGAGAATTATTAACTTCGACGATTTGGTTGAACAAGATGACGAACTCAACTCATATTATCTGATTCCTTCTAACTATGCTGGTTTTAAATGGCACAATGGTGCCTTTATGTCTCAACAACATGGAAAAACATCATATCCAAATACTGGCTTTGCCACGGCTTTTAAACAAAATAAAAAATGTGTCATCTTTAATTCTGGTTGTCAACCAATCAAAATGCGTGATTCTCGAAGTACATTTGGTATTTTATCCTTTGAAGCAACATGTGCTTTTCAAGATGAAGTTATATTAACAGTTGTCGGTCGACGTGCTGGAAAGACAATTCAAACAATGAGCTTCACACTTCGTTATCATGAATTAAAGATGTTTTTTTTGAACTGGGAAAATATTGATGAACTTGAATTTTCACCCAAAGGTGGAAAACAACTTGCAACATCTACAGACACTGATAGGCACGTTATTTTGACATGCCTCAATTTTAGCTGAAGAACAACACTATAACTTAGGAGTTTATTTTCCATAAGAGCATCAATATGCTAGAATAATACTCAATCAACTGATAAAATCACTATGAGTCAGTCCACGTAAGCCACGACCGAACCTGTTCCATCGATGTCGTCAGATCTGGCTCATTTTTTGATATGTTGTAGAGACAAGAGTTCTAAGAATATCTGTGAAAGATTTTTGAAAAAATATTGAACCGTTCATTTTTTATGAAGGTTTTACGAAAAGTCCCAAAAATGCTACTTTCTCCAAGGGGGGTCTAAATGTAACCATATCTCAATAATACCGTTATGGATTAAGGCCAAATTTTGTGTGCAAGNAGAAATTTCAAAAGAAAACGATGGAAAACTAATGGGTGAAATATTTTATTAATTACAATTGGTATATAAAGCCATGAATAAACATGTTCACGTACATTGAGTTTTCTTAAAATTTACATGTTTGAAAAAATTTGTTTTGTAAAACTTTCTTTTTATCAGATGTTTATAAATATTACTAGTCAAGAAATAGAGATGTCACAAAAATTAAGTACGACAATTTATATATTTAAATCTTATCCATCCATTTGAGCTTTAGTTTCAGCTAGAGAACTGAAACTTGCAAAATTATACATCTTGGCTAGATATGTATTCAATAAGCATTTCAGACTTCTTCGTCAAGTAAAAAGATGAAAAAGGTCGCTGACAATTTTTCCTTAATTATTATCGAACAGCCTTTATTCGTATGTATTTTTAATAGATGCATTCATTTTAAATGAGTAAGTCGCTAATAATGATAAACAAGTTTGGCTGTTAATCACTTCAGTTACTTGCAGATTTTCCAGTAGTTTATTGAACAAAAAAAAAAGATTGTTAGCGCAGTTTCAATGAAGTTTAAATATAGAACTCACATATTCTTCATAAGCTATACTATAGGACTGATTACTAAAGTCTGTAATGAGGATGAATGAGTGTGAATCTTGTGTTGGCTAACTTTCACACTCACACGTTCATCTTTATATTGACACTACATGCAGATTCATCTAATATCATTTATAATGGAGGGTTACTTCTATTATGTTAAATTGCTGTGTGTACCAAGGAGCTTGCAACATGCTGTATTTTGTATATCTTCCAGCATGAATAATGATAAAAAATCTGATCTTTTTTCAAAAGATGTGCCATGAAAAGTTTTACAAAAATGCCGAAACAAAACTTTACTTGCATGTTTCGAAAATTCCTTCTATAGTGAAAATGAAACACATATATATTATTGCTGCTTCCCATAGTATTTATAGTAATAATATTGTTTGGAAGACTTTTTGTATTTTGCATACGTATATCTCATCTTCAGAAGACAAAAAACCCTAATGTTTTTTTCAATAGATGCGCCATCGAAAAGTCTACAAAAACTGTATGAAGAAACCTCTATCGGCCTACTCGGACGATTTTTCTAGATAGTCAAAAGTGAAGAACTGCGTGATGCTACTACTGAGTGTTCACAAATGTTTGTAATATAGCTTGTTTTGTAAATATCTCTGTACAGACAAATGATAAAATTTTGATTTTTTCTTAAGGAAATACGACATGAAAAGCTCTACAAAATCTTTAAGAGTGAATACTAATCGGCTTGTTCTGACTATTTCTTCCCTACTCGAAGCAGAAAAAACGACGTGATATTGCTACTTCCTACCGTATTTATATTAATAAAAATGTTCGAAACTCTGTTTTATTTTGAATGTATCTCGGCCTCAGAAAATGATAGCACCTTGATATCTTTTTTTTTGAAGGATGCGCCGCCGAAAGATTTACAAAAGCTGTACGAGAAAATCCCAAGTGAAAAACAAAAAGAGCTCTTGCAAACATTTTTATTACTATAAATACGATGAGAAGTAGCGACAATATCTAAGTGTTTCATTTTGACTATAGGAAAAATCATCAAAACATGTAAGTAGAGGTTTGTTCCAGCATTTTTTGTAAAACTTTTCACAGCACACCTTTTGAAAAAAACCAAGCTTTTTATCATTTATCCGTACTAGGATATTTACAAAATATAACATGTTGCAAAACCTGGTATATTATATATTTCGTGACTACCTAAAACATTCAAAGAAACCTGATCAAACCTAAGTTCTAGCGAGTGAACACTAAGCGTAATATCATCGATAGTTCTCTTGATTATAATGAGTCATTTATTTGCAATCAGCAGCAATAAAAGAGACATAATCACAACAAAATTTATCTTTCCGACTTCTCAATTTGTTCCAAACTGTCAAAGAGATATCTCGACGACTAAGAAGTAATGTTTTAGGTAGTCACGAAATATATAATATACCAGATTTTGCAACAGGTTAGATTTTGTAA